CCCCAAAACCCCAAAACCCCAAAACCCCAAAACCCCAATGTAATGATATGCCACTGTAAAATTATTTAATAATTAAATATGGTCAAGATCCACAAGCGCGTTTACAAGGAAGGGGTCAACCAAATTTAATTAGTCAAATAGCATGCCAAGGCTAGTAGAGGGGGTCGGTTAGGGGTCATGCTGGTTTGAAGGATTTTTGACCTGGCTTTTAATAGAGAGAAAATAAAATGTTATTTTAGCCGTCCATCAAAAGAGTCAAGAAGAATTATATTTAGAGAAACTTTTGCATGCTCTTCATTCGTAGTAGTTTCTTTTGCAAAGAGAAACGACTGGTTTAATATGCTCAGTACTCAATATGAATGCAATGATGCTAACGAAATGTATGGCAGCGTTGTGTCTATTGATTCTTATCATTTATCTTTTCCCTACAACCATATCTTCTAAAGATTTTCACACTTTTTATCAAATGCCACTAATTCTCTTTTAGAGAAGACAAGTCTTTTAATCCTAGAAGAAAGCCACTTAGTGCAAGAGAAGATCCCTTCCATAGATCCAAAAGGAACAGACCTCTCAACGATCTCGACCTGAAAATCTTTTCAGGAAATGCTAGTCAAGAACTTGCTGAAGAGATAGCAGATCATCTCGGAACAAAGATTTCTGGTTCAGAAACTGGAAAATTCGCTGATGGAGAGACCTATGTCAGAGTAAATGAGAAAGCGAGAGGGAAAGACTGTTACATCATCCAATCGACTTGCCCACCAACAAATGACAACTTAACGGAACTTTTCCTGATGATTTCCACTTTGAAAAGATCTTCAGCAAAATTCATCACTGCAGTGATTCCTTACTCTGGATATGCTAGGCAAGAGAGGAAAACTGAGGATACTCTATGACACAGTAAAGGTGCCAGAGAGGGCTCAAAGACATTCAGAAGTAATGGAAGCATGAAAATAAAAATCCAAAACCTCACTTATACATAATTTTCAAGTAAAACAAATAATGAGGGGTTTTGGGGTTTTGGGGTTTTGGGG